TTTCTGTGTGATGCCGTGCACCTGCCTGCTGCTCGGCCGTCTGATTGATAATTTAATTAACTTCTCAATCACGGAGCCGGATTCGGGAGCAGAATCCCCGCGGGGAAAGGAGAGACGTGTAGCGGCAGAATGGTGTGCGCTTATCTCGAGACGCAGGAGAAAGCTCTGCTGTTAAAGGGTCAGTCCGCCCCAACTGGAGCTTCTTGTAGATGTTAGAGATTAAACTGCAGGGGCATTGCTGGGGTCACTGGACCTAACATCACATCGTTCTTTCATGTTTCGTAATGTGTAAAAAAAAAAACACTTTCAGGTATTTATTACTTCTCGCTTCTCTCTCCAAAAGAACAGTTAGAAGAAGAGTTAGATTTGTTCCGGCGTCATACAGGGTCACCATCTACTTCCTAGATTAATGTCCAACACAGATTAGCCCCCTGATGTAGCCTCTCACCTCGCTAAAAGACTGCAGCAGACTGATCACTGGGGGAGGGGAGACTGAGGGAATGCTTCCTCATGCCTGCAGCAGACTGATCACTGGGGGAGGGGAGACTGAGGATATGATTCCTCCTGCCTGCAGCAGACTGATCACTGGGGGGGAGGGGACTGAGGAAATGCTTCTTTCCTGACTGCAGCAGACTAATGACATTATCTCAGCCTAGGTGGAAACTCTGCTAACTAAAGCTCAAGGACAGGTTTTTGAAAAATTCAATGGTGATTGTTTTATTAAAAGTCAGGAATTTATTCATAAAGACTGCGAAGAGTTGCTAAAAGGTCCAACGTAAAGCCCTGGGACACTGCTGAGCACCTACAATGAGAGGTTATGGTGCTTGTAGCCAGGCGGGATTTACTCTCTCTGCTGTCCCAATGCCAGGTTCCTAAATGCGCCTCCCTGTATGCAGGCTGCATACAAGTGATCTTGGCGACATCCTCGAGATCACTTGTACAAATGAAGCGGCGGCTTCCCTGCTGTACACATTTAGCTCTGCTTGCCCAAAGCAGGGCTAAATGTAGAAAACAACTACCCGCCTGGTGCCCGGAACTGCACGTCCTGGGCATCCGGAGATAGGAATTCCACACCCCTGCTGCCCCTCTACTCCCTGCTACCCCGAGGCCTTGTGGGTAATCCGGCCCTGAGTCCTCAGTATCTTCACAGGAAAGCCTGAAACATTGAAATATTGTTTCGGCGCAGAGAGTTTAGAAAGCGCCGGATCTAAATTTAGCCGGGCCTCAGTTGGCCTTGTGGGAAATCCGGCTCTGCTTGTAGCGCAACAATGAAAAGCAGGTGAGATGGTTTCTTGTATACCGTTGTCTTCCCCGATTGAACCTATTTCCTCTCTTCCTAATTGCTCTGGCCCTTTGCAGACTATAACCCCCAAGAAAACCAGGCCACTTCCAAAGCACCCCCCATCAGCACCTACTACACAGTGTTGGTATGTGCAAAATATTAATAACAATTGAATGTTTATTCTATCTGTCATAAATGGAACAAATGAAATCAGTGGGAAGATTTGTAATAAAACCTGTAGTGTTGTCACCATCAATATTGTGATGTCATCCATTATTGTGATCAATTACAGGATACCGTAGACGGGATTGTGATGTGACACTATCCCAAGAAGCAAGAAATTGTGCTGCAAGTTTGAAAATGACTTGCAGACTTGCCGAGCTTCACAATTTTGTTGCACAATTACAGCAAGTCTGCATTGCAAGTCTCCAGACCAGCGAGCTTGCAGAGCTCTTGCTAAGACCTGCAGGACTCTTGCTGTAGACTTGCCGAGCAAATTTGCTACAAATTCAAAAAGTGTCGCCTAGAACTTGTGCTGCGAGTGTTCTGCAAGTCTACAACCTGCCGGGAATGTGTGCAGCAAGTTAACAAGAATTACAATTTAACCCTGACACAAGTTTGTGGCAAGTTATCCTCGCTATCTGGGATGCTCAGGATTATGATACAATAAGGTATTTGGATGTCACAGTGTAAGAATGGCATTGTATACACTTTAATAAAGCAATAAATAAATAACGGTTCCTGCAATGGCGGGCTGAATACTCACAGCACCCGTCTGGCAGGTAGCAAATTCGTCTTCAAGCGCTACAGCCTCTGGCAAGGTGAACTTCAATATGTTCAATGGCTGGTCTATCAGTGTGCACAACAATTCCTCCCGCTGGCCCCTACATCACTACTGTCGCCTGCCGGCTTGAGGGATCACCGAGTAAGCACGTTGCCAGAGGCTATCATCCTTAAACACGGCCAATATAAAAGTCCACAACAAAGATTGAAGTATGTGGACTGAAGTTATGGCAACATCTCGTGCAAAGGACACCCAGAGCACTCAGTACATGACCCAGCCAGGTGTCCGGGTCTAGCGACCACCTCTTAGGATCACAAAACCGTTTTTTTTCTGACTCTATAGGGGTCTCTGCAACAGTTTTGCCCATTGGGAAGGGTTACCGCTCTTCCTGCTTGGTGTTTTATATAATATAATGTATAGAAGGATATTCACGGGCACCCCGATGGGAAAGAAGATGCGTAAAACTACAGGGTGGGTGGCAGGAGAATGCCAAGGACTCTTACAATGACAAAGTAATACAAGACGGACAATGACATTAAAAGGCTCAACGCAACTAAACATAAGTGAACTTGGAGTTGTTACAAACTATCTGCAGAAGGCGGCTGGAATATGAGCTGACTGTTCTACGACCTTGACGGTATAAAAACATAAAGAGGCAATAGAGAAGATTGTTCGGCATTAACACTGGTGACTGAAGTCTTTTAGTGGATTAGCCTCTGGCTCTCCACAAGAAAAAAACATCTCTAAATGTAACTCTCACATGTGTATATTATATACAATCCTAAATCAATGGAACTCGCACCCATTGAGATGAGACCGAGTGAACATTCTACAGTCTTACACAGATATCGGCAGACCTTCCACAAAGTGCACCTGTGCCCAGACTATGGACATATACATATTCTTAACAATCAGCAAATTTATTGAAAAACAAGGTCTTCACTGACCTCTCTAGCTGCTTGTACTGTGGAATAATGTATCCTCAAATATCACACAGAGACTCAGAAGTCAGTTTCAATCAGCTTCTAACAGCTTACGGCAGCTGCTGTTATTTACATTAGAGGGTTGGTGCGCTGTCAATCTTCTAATGCCAGAGGAAATAAGGAGACAGGAGCTGTGATTTCAGTGTCTCTGTTGCAAACTTTGAAAAATAATTTCTCCACAATACCCTTATCTACATAAAGTAGGTCGGTGAGGGCTGGTTTTGAAGAGCATTTACTGCTTGCTTCAAATATGTAAATACTTTTATCTGCATAGTCTGGATTTACTATAAGACTCCAGCTGACGGCCACGGAGTAACTCATGCAGAACAATCATACATGCTTGTAGCTCCAAAGAGAATGCTTCAAGCTCAGCCTCAAAGGGTAGGTCTAATGGTCAGCCCCCCTGGCCAACCAAGGAACTTCTCGGCACTAGAGCCTCCTGATGGGGATGGGTGCTGCTCTGGTCTGGCCAGGGGGTTTGGGGAGCGTAGAGGCCTGCGGTTTGGTGCCCCCTGGGGGTGGAATTCCAGGGGTGGCGGAAAATCACTTGGGTGTGGGACCCCACTGTGATTCACCTGCACTAAGTCACGGCACCACACTTCTTGGGCAGGCCTTCTGGCTAGCCTAGGGCAATTTTTATACCTTGGCCAGATGGCCTGCCAGGTCTGTGCACTGGCACTTATTTATTTACGCACTATTTTATGCACGATTGCACGTTTTTGACTCCACAGATTGACGGAGTACCTTCGGGGCCCGTCCTGATGTTAGGGGGGAGATTCTGTGGACTTCGCTGGCTTCTCTGCTTTGCCCCACCTGGGGGGTCTCTCTTCGGGGGTAACCCCTTACCAACGGTAGTACTTGAGGGTCCTACTTCGGTAGGACCCTGAGGATCAGGGGTCCGCCGGCTTTCAGGTAGGTGGGCCAGAGTTTTCCTTATCCCTGTCAGGAGCCTTGTGCCCCGAGGGGTTCAGGGATATCAAGGCCCTTCTTCTTCGGACGAGGACCAAAGCACCCTTGTGCACTTTTTGTTTTTGTGTGTTTTGATTTCACGATTCACATTTTTTGTTCACAGGGGAAGTCGTATTTGATGCACGCACCACGGACTTCAAAGAAAAATGAAGAAAAAATAAAAGGAGCTATAGAGGCATTTCATTAGCTGTGAGAGCCCCACAAGTGTCACAGGGGACACCACACCCTGCCTGTCTCTCTATAGGGACTTTCAGTTCCTTCCCACACAAAGCTAGAATGCCAAACACAACACCTTCCGCTGACTGTGCCCATCCATATCCCATCCCAAGCCACTTCGCAATGACTCCACATACAATCATAAACTACAGACCGTTTCTTGTGGCCTCCAAAAGCTGCCCCAACCCAGAGGTCATGTTACCCCTCGCCATCTCTCACCCATGGAGTCCTAGAGATAGAAGTCAGTGCTTCCACCTACAAATGGAATCTCACTTTCGGATGACTCTAAATTGTCCTTAGGCATACTTGAGGCCGAACTCCAGCCAAATGTTGTAAAGATTGTATTGAGTGGAGAAAAGTTAACATTCCGGGCTTCAAGATTTGTCTAGAACTGAAATAGGGAAATGTTCCCTTATTCTTTTACCTGTGACACCCGTACAAGGAATGGGGGATGTAGTCATCATCAGGACGGGAAGACATGGGCATAGAAACATTGTCAGAAGTTTTAAACCTTCTTCAATCTACTAAAAATGTGTTTTAGTTTGTGTTCCATTAGAGAGATTTCTCATGACTTCCTGTACACATTGTTTTTGTCTCGACATATTCACTTTAATCTTCACCAGCGTAAAAGAAAATGGGAGACACAGAGCCATGGTAACATTGTAACAATGTGAGATCCTTCTACGTGAACAAGGCCTATGCCTAGAGGAAATGGTACCAGACTGGGGCTTCTCACGTCCCTCCTGTGTGGAGAAGTTCTACTCACCATTGTTACTGTTATCGTCTACCAGGATGATCTCTTTCAGAAGCTCTGGGGGTGTCCGGTCAATGGCGGAGTGGATGGACCTGAGAATGACGGAGAGAGCCTCGTTGACGAATATGAAGACGATGCTGACCTGGGGGAGCTGTTCCGGGTACGAGAGGTTTTTACACCTACAAAACAAAGGACAAGATTACTCAATGGGAAGCGTAATGTCGCATGGCCAATTGTATTGTATTTTACGCTATTTTCTGTTTAGAATTTAAATAATCAATTTTTAGGAGGTTTGCAACAAAGATGGATAAACTGCATTTAAAGTTGGAATGCACAACAACAACATTATGAAATACGCATCCGTTCATAAGACAATCAATACCATTTTGATATATTGTAATACAATTTAAAAGAATCTCACTGGGCTGTCTGTTCCTTCAATGGAAGGTATCTATTAATATGATGGTCAAATCGGAGGATGGTACAGCCACAAAGAAGGGGCGACTCCATATTAATGGCCATGGTTTGAAACGGGATGTTCAAAAACCTCCTAGAGCTGTGATGGTCAGGTATCCAAAAAACTGTAGGCCATATAGTGTGCATGCCTTCTGCTTAGTAGTGCAGCACGGTTGTCCAATTATCTCAGCTTCATTATACATCGTGAAAGAATGTGTGAAATTCTCTCTCATTCTCTCTCTCTCTCTCCTTGTGCAGGGTGACTGGTCTTGTCTCCGCCCCCCTCCTGTAATAAAGACCGCTCACTGCTGCTCTCTCCCCCCTTGTGCAGGGTGACTGGTGTCGTCTCCGCCCCCCTCCTGTAATAAAGACCGCTCACTGCTGCTCTCTCTCCTTGTGCAGGGTGACTGGTGTCGTCTCCGCCCCCCTCCTGTAATAAAGACCGCTCACTGCTGCTCTCTCTCCTTGTGCAGGGTGACTGGAGTCGTCTCCGCCCCCTCCTGTAATAAAGACCGCTCACTGCTGCTCTCTCTCCTTGTGCAGGGTGACTAGTCTTGTCTCCGCACCCTCCTGTAATAAAGACCGCTCACTGCTGCCCTCTCTCCTTGTGCAGGGTGACTGGTCTGGTCTCCACCTCCTCCTGTAATAAAGACCGCTCACTGCTGCCCTCTCTCCTTGTGCAGGGTGACTGGTCTGGTCTCCACCTCCTCCTGTAGTTTTCTGCAGGCAGCCAGTAGTAGGCAGGGTCTGCTCGGTCCCTCCCACAGCTCTGCTTTCTGTACAGCCTATCTGCAGCACAGTGATGATGCCACTGCTACTTTTACAAGGTGATAACTGGGCTCACAAAGGCATTTGTTGCACATCAAGTAGACTTCTATCCTCTGTAGCTGTTGAGGAATACATTTGAATTCATGTTTTTGTGCCTGGAGATCAGCTTTAAGCCTCTCTGTCAGGCTGCGCTGAGTTTTATTTGATTTTGTGTAGTAACTGCACTCTTTCAGCACAGATCACAGCCTGGAATCCTTCTATAAGACAAATCTATGATTACCGTGCCAGTTTGTTGTTCCTCATCGCTCCCTCGTATTAATATTTATGAATTTACTCATCTCATCTCCCTCAATCTGAGCCGCCGAGCCCCGTCCAACTCTGCAGTTTTCTGTTTTTTTTCTTCCCTCTTTCCATCCATTGTTCCGCTGCGAGCGGCGTTTTCGAGTTGTGCGGCGCAGCTTGTTAAACCTCCTAATCATCTCCGCACACACAGCCGAATCGTGTCAATCTGTCATGAAGCTGAAACGGGGATTTTTCAGGACAGCGTTACATTATGAATATCAACAGACGATTGGCTGTTTGGTGTTGGAGAGGCGAGGCAAGCTAGTTTATTTACACTTAAACTGTGCGCAGCCAGAACATTGATCTTTAGTGTTTAATAGAGTGATGCGGGGTTAGAACTAGGGAGGCACCGATAGCGGTATTTTGGTATCGAGTACCGCTACTGTTTTTCCGGTACTCGCCGATACCGAATACCGATACCTGCAGTCCCATTAAGGAAACCAGGCAGCGTGTAGTGACTCTCCACCTGGCTTCCAGATTAGCAGGGAAGCCGTCTCCATGCTTCTCGTCACTTAGGCCTTGTTCACACCAAATGCAAAGCAGATCCGGTCAGGTTTCTGCACATGCACGCTAGTCTTTTAGACGCGTTTTTGACGCGTTTTTGATGCGTTCCGCGCTCTTTTTGGTAATATATATATATATTTATTTTTTTTAAAGTTTAAAATGGGCTTTCAGTGTGTTCCAGGCATTTGAATGCATTTTTGATGCGTTCCAGAGCAGGTAAAATAGCGCTGCGATGTGAACTGGAGCAAAAAATACCATTGGCGTACATTGGATGCAGTTTTCATCCGGTCTGCACCTGCTCTGCTCTGGATCTGCTCCGCGCTTGGTGTGAACAAGCCCTTAGGTGATGAGAGAGCATGGAGCCGGCTTTCTGGCCAATCAGGAAGCCAGACGCCGTGTAATGATGCAGTGCCCGGCTTCCTGATTGGCTGGGAAGCTGGCTCCATGCTCCGTCGTCACGAGGTGAAGAGGGAGCATGAAAATCAGCTTTCCGGCCAATCAGAAATCCGCACGCCACGTCATTACATGACACCCAGCTTCCTGATTGGCTAGCTTCCCGAGCAACCAGGAAGTCGGGCGTCATTATGCGCTGCCCAGCTTCTTAATTGGCTGGGAAGCCGGCTTCCTGGCTAATTAGAAAGACGGGCAGCATGGTATGACTCACTGCCTGGCTTCCTGATACCAGAAGCTCAAGTATCGGGCTAGGTATCGGAGCACTTGGGCGAGTATGAGTATTCACCCAAATACTCGGCATCCCTAGTTAGAACCCCTTTCAGGTTTTTATTTGTTGACAATAAACATATTGATAGGGCTCCGGACCCAAAAGTAGAAGGAGGGAGCTTAAAAAATAGGATTCTGACTTTAATGTCACTTTAACCCTTGCAGTGGGGCTATCCCGCACCGCAAGCATTAACTGCTCGTTTGTGTCTAGGTTAAAAAAAACAAAGTTATACTCATCCAAAGCTCTGAGCCGGCTTCTTCATTGACCGATCCTTCCAGCCTCCCTCCCCCTCCTCTGCAGTGGTCAAAAGGTCCCGTAAATCATCAATCTCTATACACTGTGTATAGACATGAGGGCACTAAGGAAGATTCCAATACTGCAGGGAGGGGGAGACGTGACAGCTGGCCGTCTCAGAGCATTGGGTAAGTAAATATTTGTTATTTTAGCATCTAGACACAAAGGAGAACTTAAAGGAGAACTATGAGGCGAGTGCTTTTCACTCACCTCATAGTTCTAAGCTGACCTGTGACAATGAGACTGTCACAGGTCGGCTCAGTAGATCGGGAAGTGAGCGAACACATACCGGCGTTCGCTCACCTCTCGATCCTGTCACGCCTCTCTGCCGTGACCCCTCCCCGCTCCGATCCTCCAGCGCTCCCCTCCCCGCTCCGATCCTCCAGCGCTGACTGGCGGAACGGATGGGGGAGGGGGCGGGTACAGCTGGCTCTGCCTCTAGATAGGCAGAGCCAGCTGTCACTCACGCAGCTGGGCGGATCCAGACATAATTGTCGGGATCTGCTTCAGGTGGGGCGTCTCAGTATACCGCGAGCAGCAGCTTAGGGTGACGGGAGGACGCTAGTTTGTGTCCTCCCGTTACCCTAAGGAGAACTATGGGGAAAAACCCTGACCCCATAGTTCTCCTTTAACCCTTGCAGTGCTGAGGTAGCCCCACTGCAAGGATTAATTTAAAAGCATTCCTGGAGTTCTTTTTTAGGCATTTATAAAGGGATAAAGCCCGGGGACATGCATGTATTGCAGCGATGTCCTGGTTATGGTGTTTTGTGTTACATTTGCCCAGAATAGAAAATAATCTGTTATTGTAACGCTTTATAAAGAAATGTAAACAACCTCCAGAAAGTATTTTCACCTCCAGGCATCGAGGATGATAACCCGCATTCCGTGTATGAAAACGCCTCAAATATTTGCAGCCGCAGAGTGACAATCGAGTGGAGCGTCCGGCGATGAGTGTTGATGCGAGCGAGCGCCGGGCCGCGTTGGGAAGGAGAGGCTTTTAGCGGCGTGCCGGCACCAGACAGAACAATCACATTGTTCACTTACAAAATTAGAAAGAAAAAAAAACAACCTTGAGAAGACTGTCTGCTAAAAGTGCGAAGCCTAATGGAGCCGAGGTGTCCGTCGCCTTGGTTACTAAGTATTCAGAGAAAGCAGTAATGTTCCGTACTCCTCTACAAAGTAACAAACGCAGCCCATTCTTCAAAAACGGGGGATAGCCTTAAAGGGGAAATGTAATCTATTCACGGATGTGGACTCATTTGTTGGTACCCTTAAAGCTCATTGAAACGATGCTTCCTTCATGGAACAGCGATTCAAGTACAAGCATCTTTATCTGTGAGGTTTACACCCAGCATGTTCTCTGGTTCCAGCACTGCCCCTTACACCTTCTCCCAACAATAACGGACCACAGCAGGAGGTTTTAGCAGTACAGAATCATGTGACTAAAGTCTGTAACCGTGCCTAAAAGCATCCTGAAAAGCCTGCTGAATTGCTTTTTATGACACTCACTTTAAAAGACAGATTTATGGTTTCCAGTTTCTTAGACTGTTTTTAGAAGTCTACTGACTGAGATTTTTGTTTAAGTGAATTAACTTTGACCATACAGGGCTGCATTGAGTCCAGTCCCTGTGTGAGCTCTGTTTCAACCAGTGTTAGAGCTTACACGGGATGGCCGTGTTCAGGCCTGATGATTGGCTCCATAATCTCAGGCATTGCATCTTGGGAGGAAGAGGTGAAAGTCACATGTTCCCTCAAAACTTGAAGTACAGGGTATGTCCAACAAAAGAATGGAGCGGTGGGGGAGTGCAGTGAATGCATCAGTAAGGGGGGGGGTATTATTAAGAGTACCTGTCACTCTGGCCTGGAAGGGTAAAGTGACAGGTTCCCTTTAAGCCACAGTAGGCTAGATAAAGAGAAGGAACAGATCTTTTCCGACCACGCAAAAATAAAGAAGAAAACAGGTTTGATTTTTGGCATAAGTTTTATAGTGTTCTGTTTTTTCCCCAGAATCCTCTGCCACGTCATTCAAGGCTGGCAGGGCATGCTGACATATGTAGTACCATGACAGCCGGGGCAGATACAAGATAAGCATCT